TATCAGAAAAATGCGCTGAGTTATCCCGAGGTCAGATTTGCTCTAAAAAAAAGTCCCGAGGTCGTTGGCGGTCTCGTTTAGTCACTGGTGCAGATCTGGGACTCGGACTTTAAGTTCGCACTCCGTTTAGGTTAACACACATTTATTTATAGTTGTATCTTAACGGTTAATGACTCGGTACAGTCTTTGCTGAAGGTTTTTTATTTAGTAGACTTTCATAAACTCATGTGACAAGAATCATAATCGCACGGAAAATTTTCGAAACCATTGGACGGTTTTCAGCTGCATTCTTCCGCTATTTTCTATCAAATGCGGTGCGTTCTTTACGCAATAAACATTCTTGTCATGCTTCTCTCGAGACTGCATAACAACTGTGTTGAGTATTAACAGTTATTAAATAATCGTAAGTATCGGATCATAGTCTTTCCGCCATTCTGCATCTCTCGCAGATATGGTTGATGACTTCACGTTCTGCCACCTATTAACAGTGCAACCCTATTAGCACGTAGATATTGCTTGCTGAGAAATGCGCACACCGTATAACAATGATGTGTTAGAGGAATTTTAATCGCAGTTCGAAAACATTAGTTTATTTGAATCGCAGCAGGATGCTGCAAACAGCATTCATCAAGAGCATGAAATTTGTCGGACTCACGAGGAAGCAATTTGCATCTGAAAGGCCATAAAACAGTTGTTTTATTTAGTGCTCCGTGTGCGCGTGTGATATTGATTTGGACGATCCAGGAGTGGGGTGCACGGATTGCAAGCTTTGGTATCATCTGAAGTGCCAAGGAATAAAACGCCAATTGTCGAAAAAAGCGGAAAACTCTTACAAGTGTTCTGCTTGCAAGGGAGACACCTGAGATTTTGGAGACGTCGGGAACCGGCAAATTGAAATTTTTCTTTTTCCGTACAACGTTTACAGTGAATGTTGTCGAGCTTAACGATAATGGCAGATCTTTTTGCCATCACAGCCTGATCGAAACGAATCCGAATACGGCATCACAGCGATTTCTTATTAAGTCTTTACGCTAAATTTTTGCTACGTTATTCGAAAAGCTATATAATATGCAGCGAATGATGAATATTCTTTAACATTTAAGCTCTTTGGAATTTTCATGATAATTCCTTATACTTTTTGTAACAGCGATTACAGAATATTGTTCAGTCAAGTAGTCTGAAACTGCTAATAAATGTTTTTTACTTTCCTCTTAGCAAAAGTTAAATAATAGATCAGCATTGTCATCAAAACACGCGAAACTTTGAAGTTGTCCTTCATCAGATCAACATTAAATGCACTTCGAAGTCAATCCAATTTCAAGCCAAATGAATCACCAGCCCATTAACCAGTTTATTGCAGACCCCATCATTTACGCACTGCGGAAAATGAAGCAGGCAGGCATGGTAAACTGTCATACTGGAAGGGTCGCGATGCGCTGCGGTTGTACACAGGCATCGCTTCATGCATGCCTAAATGCAGTATATGTAACACTGTCGCGGTGCATCGCGGCTTTATACAGGCGTCGCGGCCATCGCGGCGTCGCGGCAGGCAGGCCTACTTGCGGCATCCGCAGTGTCGCGGTGCATCGCGGCTTTATACAGGCGTCGCGGCCATCGCGGCGTCGCAGCAGGCATGCCAGCCTGCGGTATACGCAGTGTCGCGGTGCATCGCGGCTTTATACAGGCGTCGCGGCCATCGCGGCGTCGCGGCAAACAGGCCTACTTGCGGCATCCGCAGTGTCGCGGTGCATCGCGGCTTTATACAGGCGTCGCGGCCATCGCGGCGGCGTCGCGGCAGAATGCATAGCTTGCGGCATACGCAGTGTCGCGGTGCATCGCGGCTTTATACAGGCGTCGCGGCCATCGCGGCGTCGCGGCAGGCAGGCCTACTTGCGGCATCCGCAGTGTCGCGGTGCATCGCGGCTTTATACAGGCGTCGCGGCCATCGCGGCGTCGCAGCAGGCAGGCCTGCTTGCGGCATACGCAGTGTCGCGGTGCATCGCGGCTTTATACAGGCGTCGCGGCCATCGCGGCGTCGCGGCGAACAGGCCTAGCGCATCCGCAGTGTCGCGGTGCATCGCGGCTATACAGGCGTCGCGGCCATCGCGGCGTCGCGGCAGGCAGGCCTGCTTGCGGCATACGCAGTGTCGCGGTGCATCGCGGCTTTATACAGGCGTCGCGGCCATCGCGGCGTCGCGGCAGGCAGGCCTGCTTGCGGCATACGCAGTGTCGCGGTGCATCGCGGCTTTATACAGGCGTCGCGGCCATCGCGGCGTCGCGGCGTCGCGGCATGCCAATACTGCGGCATCCGCAGTGTCGCGGTGCATCGCGGCTTTATACGAACGTCGCGGCCATCGCGGCGTCGCGGCAGAGCAGGCCTGCTTGCGGCATACGCAGTGTCGCGGTGCATCGCGGCTTTATACAGGCGTCGCGGCCATCGCGGCGTCGCGGCAGGCAACCTGCTTGCGGCATCCGCAGTCGCGGTGCATCGCGGCTTTATACAGGCGTCGCGGCCATCGCGGCGTCGCAGCAGAACGGGCCTGCTTGCGGCATACGCAGTGTCGCGGTGCATCGCGGCTTTATACAGGCGTCGCGGCCATCGCGGCGTCGCAGCAGGCAGGCCTGCTTGCGGCATACGCAGTGTCGCGGTGCATCGCGGCTTTATACAGGCGTCGCGGCCATCGCGGCGTCGCGGCAGGCAGGCCTACTTGCGGCATCCGCAGTGTCGCGGTGCATCGCGGCTTTATACAGGCGTCGCGGCCATCGCGGCGTCGCAGCAGAAACGGGCCTGCTTGCGGTATACGCAGTGTCGCGGTGCATCGCGGCTTTATACAGGCGTCGCGGCCATCGCGGCGTCGCGTAGAAACAGGCCTACTTGCGGCATCCGCAGTGTCGCGGTGCATCGCGGCTTTATACAGGCGTCGCGGCCATCGCGGCGTCGCAGCAAGTGAGCCTGCTTGCGGCATACGCAGTGTCGCGGTGCATCGCGGCTTTATACAGGCGTCGCGGCCATCGCGGCGTCGCGGCAAACAGGCCTACCTGCGGCATACGCAGTGTCGCGGTGCATCGCGGCTTTATACAGGCGTCGCGGCCATCGCGGCGCCATGGCAGACCTGCCTGCGGTATCCGCAGTGTCGCGGTGCATCGCGGCTTTATACAGGCGTCGCGGCCATCGCGGCGTCGCGGCAGGCAGGCCTACTTGCGGCATCCGCAGTGTCGCGGTGCATCGCGGCTTTATACAGGCGTCGCGGCCATCGCGGCGTCGCAGCAAGCAGGCCTGCTTGCGGCATGCAGTGTCGCGGTGCATCGCGGCTTTATACAGGCGTCGCGGCCATCGCGGCGTCGCGGCAGGCATGCCACTTGCGGCATCCGCAGTGTCGCGGTGCATCGCGGCTTTATACAGGCGTCGCGGCCATCGCGGCGTCGCAGCAAACGGAAGCCTGCTTGCGGCATACGCAGTGTCGCGGTGCATCGCGGCTTTATACAGGCGTCGCGGCCATCGCGGCGTCGCGGCAGGCAGGCCTACCTGCGGCATACGCAGTGTCGCGGTGCATCGCGGCTTTATACAGGCGTCGCGGCCATCGCGGCGTCGCAGCAGGCCTACCTGCGGCATACGCAGTCGCGGTGCATCGCGGCTATATGCAGGCGTCGCGGCCATCGCGGCGTCGCGCGGCAGGCAGGCCTACACCTACGGCATACGCAGTGTCGCGGTGCATCGCGGCTTTATACAGGCGCGTCGCGGCCATCGCGGCGTCGCAGCAAGCAGGCCTGCTTGCGGCATACGCAGTGTCGCGGTGCATCGCGGCTTTATACAGGCGTCGCGGCCATCGCGGCGTCGCGGCAGGCAGGCCTACCTGCGGCATACGCAGTGTCGCGGTGCATCGCGGCTTTATACAGGCGTCGCGGCCATCGCGGCGTCGCAGCAGGCAGGCCTGCTTGCGGCATACGCAGTGTCGCGGTGCATCGCGGCTTTATACAGGCGTCGCGGCCATCGCGGCGTCGCGGCAGGCAGGCCTACCTGCGGCATACGCAGTGTCGCGGTGCATCGCGGCTTTATACAGGCGTCGCGGCCATCGCGGCGTCGCCAGCAAACGCAGGCCTGCGGCATCACCGCAGTGTCGCGGTGCATCGCGGCTCTATACAGGCGTCGCGGCCATCGCGGCGGCGTCGCGGCAGGCAGACTACTTGCGGCATCCGCAGTGTCGCGGTGCATCGCGGCTTTATACAGGCGTCGCGGCCATCGCGGCGTCGCAGCAAACAGGCCTGCTTGCGGCATACGCAGTGTCGCGGTGCATCGCGGCTTTATACAGGCGTCGCGGCCGCCGCGTCGCGGCAGCAGGCCTACCTGCGGCATACGCAGTGTCGCGGTGCATCGCGGCTTTATACAGGCGTCGCGGCCATCGCGGCGTCGCGGCAGAGCCTACCTGCGGCATACGCAGTGTCGCGGTGCATCGCGGCTTTATACAGGCGTCGCGGCCATCGCGGCGTCGCGGCAAACAGGCCTACCTGCGGCATACGCAGTGTCGCGGTGCATCGCGGCTATATACAGGCGTCGCGGCCATCGCGGCGTCGCGATCGTTGCCGCGACTGTCGCGCGATAAAAGTTTGGTACCGATTGAGCCAGTTCTAGCATCCGGAGTATACGAATATTTATACTTCACATAGCTATCCATTCCATGAGCCGCCAGGTAAAATTTTGCTAAATCTATATTTCTTAAATTAGATTTCTTTGACTTTTGGCTTAAATATACGTATTTCCGAACCTTTCTTTGTCTTCTAATCTGCTGAGTAACCAAGAGTGGACTGCAGAATTGCGATTAGCATTACGAAACAACGGAACGAGACCAGTCGTGTAAACAACTTGCTAATTTAAAGAGAACAATAGCATGAACTTTAGAACGAAGAGATAAAGCACGATTACGGATAACCGGTGGCGCTCGATAAGCTTGTATACAGCATTAGGCGCACTACTGATACTAGTAAAGGCAATATCTGGTATTTTCGGCACCGTTTTACAGTTGTACCGCTAACATAGCCAGAATGCACTTTTACGAAGTATGGTCACTGTGGTGGAGGCCCTCCAAGCGATCGCTGGACATCTGGAGTGCAGTGAACGTGGAAGTGGACGGATTGCTGCAACTGGGCCACGTCGTCGGTCTGGAAGAAGCGACAGAAACTCCGATACGACTTATAGTTGATTTCGGGTGCGCGATGCAGCAATCCGTGTCAGTGGAGTATGGAAAAGTGTTCGACTTCTCCGACTCGTCACCCGAAATTAAGGCCACGAAAACTAAGCTCTGCAGCGTTCCGGCGGGAGACGAATATGAGGATGTGCAAGTGTTGCTGCGCAATCAACCGGATCAACCTTGGAAATGGCGTCCCGCAAAGCTCCTGGTACTGGAATTCGAGTATTTGCAAGAGTACGCTCTGGTAGAGGTCTTGTTGGGAAAACAGCGCGTGCGCGAGCTGATCCCAGTACAACAGATACGTGCACCTCCTTCGAGAGAAGACCTCCAGCGACGAATCGTTCAACCGGGTGACTTCGTCATCCGGACGTGCAACGTGCCTCAAGGATACTGGACGACGACTGAGACGGTACGAGATTTGTTCCGTGAGAAACTGGAAGAGTGGCGCAGAAAAAGGGTCACATGGAGGAGAAGGTTTACGCATCCTGTCTGTTCTCAGCCAAACGATCACTTACCTACAACGCGGTGGTGAATCCACGGTGTCAGACGAAGACGCTGTAAGTTGGTGTCATTTTTTATAAAGCGTCAATAATTTCGATAAATGCTTTTTAATACAAACCTGAACAATTCAGCGTTCAGAATAACGTTAAATTCAGCTTCTCCATCATGTAGGTTAATTTGCTGAAAGAAGCTGAACGATTCGCGGAATTCCAAAAACCTCGAAAAGTACAGGATGAGGAAGAGGCCAAACGAAAAAAGCCTCTCTGCAGCAGTGAACTGAGTACATTAGCGTTGCCGCCGGTGCTTCTAGCGGAGCTTTTCAAAACACTGGACACCGTCGATCGGCAGCGATGTCGACGTGTCAGTCATTTGTGGAATGAGATTCTGACTTCGGACGAACTGTGCAAAGAAGTTTTTATGTCAATGAAGGACGGACGGTACGGAAAGTTGCCAAGCGACTACGCTTCTTTCGCTTGTGTCTTTAAATACGTCACACCAGCCACGCGGACCATCTGCATTCGGGACGCGGATGATAAGTGCGAATGCGGATTCGAGCACGAAGACACCACGGTTACGGGCGAATTAATCAAGTACATCAAGAAGGTTTTGATGGCCTCCAACATCCGCATTGACCGGTTAGTAATGCACACGCGATCCATCTCCATTTCGCAGCACAATTACTCGGTGTGGGATTACGTTGCCAGCAACCACAAAGTGTATTCCAGACTGATGTCCTGTTGTGACCGGCTTATTTGGAAGGGTTTCTCGCTGACTTATATCACCTCGGTTGACGATGTTCCTGAAATGCAGTTTCGCATTCCGTTGGCGGTTTTTCCACTTGAGCGTTTTGGTGGGGTGAGCATGCCTGATATCTTCGAGAAACATTTGCAATGGGAAATGCCGGCTAATGTGGATACGCTGGCGCAGTTGTCGGCAGAACTGACTGAAGATAAACGCGAGGATTTCTACTTGGAAGTAATGGATGTATGTACTCAACGATTCCCTCTGTACTGCAGTGATTGGGAGTTAAAATTCTTTTACAGTATTAATTTTGCAAATATTGCACAGCATATATTATTATAAAATTTATTCTGCTACATAACTTTTAAAATTTTTATTGATTGTAGATTCTAGAGATATTCCAGAAGGAAGATCCGCGCTCATCCGCGCAGTACACGGACCGCGAATGGGGGCTGGATAACGTGGACGAACTGGGCGATCTGGAAGTGCGGAAGTTAAATAAAATCTGCCAGTATATTCTGTTTAATCGAGTAAAGAGTTTTTGCGTCGTACCCCCCGCTAACCAGTCACCACGCCGAAGGAATAGAAGAGGAAACGCCACAAGACACTGATTGATTTAGTCATTTATCTTTCTAGCGGAAGCACTGAAAATTAAACATTAAGCGGAAAGACCAGAGAGAATTAACCGCAGCCTTATGCTGGTTTGTTACTCTGCTGCTATGACAAGTTGACAACTAGTGCGTAATATGGGAGTAAGTCAGATTCTTCATAGAATTCTGCTGAATCAGGAGCGTAAACCGTGCACAATGACCGGTTTGTTTTATAACATAACATTTAATGTTTGCTAGAAGCTAGAAATTATGAAGAAAGACAAATATGAACGATTGATATGTGATGGTCGAGGCCCCTCTATGCATTGTTGTTGGCTGCTTAACTTTTAGATGGATATGACTTCTGAGTACCACTGGCCGCGACATGCTAGTCACAACTCTGAGTGGACTCTTGACAGTTTGCATCTTCGGTAACTAGATAAAATGTGCATGTAGGCGTGGTCTTATCTTGTCTTTAGCCGTAAGGACGAGATAGATCTGTTATCGAGAGCCAGCGCTACCTCCCAAGAGGAAAATGCAGAATAGACTCCGAACTATTAATCCAATATAGAAAGCGAAGTCCTTTACTAACCGGTCATGCAGGTACTGTCGGAGAGCAATTTTCTGTGATACCGCATTGTCCAAAACTATTCCGGCAGACATTAAGAGATTGTAGCGTTTTGTGCTTTCAGGCCGTAACAGTATTTACAGCGCCTTTTTAATCCTTGGTTACGTAACATAAGATTGACAACTGGAATGATTCTAACAGCATAACAATTTGGTTTCTGTTACAATTACATTCCAGAAATTTTGCTGTGATGATCAGCTTTATGACGAAAATGCTGCCATGTAAGTTGATGTACGTAGTTGCACGACACTGCCAACAAACGCTCCCTTAGATGTACAACTTGCAAGCTACGGCGACCTTCATTAAATAGCTCTCATGTAGGAGCAGACTCAACTGTTTTACGGATTGCGGTCATCGGTCATGGCTGAGTTGCTTTACACTTTCTGTCAGATTCTTTAACATGTCGGAGACCAGTTCCCCTTCTCGGAAATCTTCCGACCTTTCCATTAGAAATCCGACAAATCCAGAAAAGGCAATGCCCAGCTACAACCCAGCAGCGATCAATGAAAAACATAAAACGTACTAAGTCAGCGCAACACCGAAACCGTAAATCGATGCAGAAAGAACTTCGGAAAAGCAGTTCGGAATCGGTAAACCAGTTTTATTACTGAAGATTTACTTACTGTGACCGCGGTATTTCTTGTTAAGGTCGCAAACCCCGCCAAGGTCAGGCCGTGGTGTCTGTGATTACGGTTTTGCAAGAAAAGCAACAAATCGGCTGTTTTTACACTGTGAATCGCTTGCTAAAAACGTCGAGAGAAAACATTTTATTGACGATCCCCGCAAGTATCTGTAGTGTTCGTACATGCAACATGGCACGCACTGCACAAAAATGTTGTTTATTGTTAGCTGTAAAATTACAAAAATTACAGCATTGGCTTTTCAATCTACCGTACATAATGCCATAGTGCTTGCGCGAGCATGTATGTGCGTACCGGCACAGTTTCGATTCGAAACATTTGAAAATTCTGCCCAGTGATATACTACTTTACCTTGTTTTGGAAATTTTGATGCGCAGTAATTAAATCCGTCCACAATGTAACGGATTCGGTACTCTGCAAACTACATTGAATTAAGCTAACAATGTTAGAACTCGGCAGCTTCACGAATACACTGATGCATCTCGGTGCAGCATTAGTCAGCAATAATACCGAGAATATATATCTTTCCGATGACTGACTACCGCACCTATGATCTCTGCTATGCACCAAGGGTGTGCATTAAAGATTCTGCTTGCAAAGGAAAGAGTATTTTGTCATAAACCATACAGATACATACAGCAAACTGATGACATGGACTGTTTTAACATGGGCAGCCCATCAAGTATAAGCTGTTATTAATCGTATCACTTTAAAAAATTTATTACCACATCGTAATAATATTAGAGGCTTTAAAACGTAATCACTTTAAAAAATTTATTACCACATCGTAATAATATTAGAGGCTTTAAAACGTAATCACTTTAAAAAATTTATTACCACATCGTAATAATATTAGAGGCTTTCGGCAAAAGACACCATATCCATCCCTTAACCATCCCTTATCGAGTCGTGGTGGACCGCCATGGAGGTGGCAGTGTATGCCATGTTCAGCTGAAGCGCTCTCCTGACTTCTAGGTGCCTTCAGATTTTATTTTTTCTCTCGCATTACATGGCGCGGCATCATTCGAAAAAATTATATTTATGTTCATTAATGTTTTCTGTATTATAAAAGTGCACATCGAGTGCAGTTTGATTGTACAAATGTTAAGAGGAGCCGTTGGAAGTCGACCACCATACGACGCGTTTGTATGGTATCCGCACTTACCATACGCTCGCACTTAACCATACAGTATGGTTAGCGTATGGCTATGGTTAAGCGGAGCGTTTGCCGAAAGCCTCTTTTAGAGGCTTTTAGAGGCTTTAGAGCTTATTATAAACCTTCCTTATGTTAATTAAGTATATTAAGTATATTTCCTTATGTTAATTTCACTGACCGCTTCATGCAGACGAGCGCCCGACATCATCAATACCGCCAGCAAGACCACAGTGTTTATCAGAAGATGTATATATCTGATACAAATCCAAGAATCAGTAGGAACATTCGATAGAAACAACATAGATGTAGCCGATAACAGTTGCAGAAAGCCGCCGAATACTGCTCCGGCTAAAATGAGGGAAAATCCTGCTCGTAGCGAATCGCTGATCCTAGTCAGTCTGTCGTCTTCCAGCCGCAGCGTAATAAACGCATCGGCAGAAAATGGAACACCCGATAACATAAGTGTCGCAGTTAATTGGTTCAGCATTTTGTTCAATTGGAAAATACATTTCGTTATTGAGCTGGTCATATAGCAGTACAGAATGTACAAAACGAATGGAAGCAAATGTGTAATGAATAAGGTAACTGAGGAATAAATTTCCTGTATACCTGATGGCCATAACCAGACAAAGTAAGTCTCCCTTTGCCAAAACTCATAAGAATTTAACGTTGCGCAGAAATAAAAATTAACTAGGCAGACGACCAAGTGACCGGTTGCTGAGGCGGCCAATAAAAGATAACTGAGATGAAGCCACTTGTTCCGTAAACGTTTTCCGGGATGGGCACTATGCCGCTTCGGCTCTACTGTTGCCATTTGGTGCAAGCAAGCTAGAATTTCTTTTGATCGTGCTATTGCTCCCACAAATACTGTGACGGTTGTACCAAAGGCTATTTGGCTTCTCAAGTATGCGAGCAGGGAAATAACCGGGCTTTGATGAGAAAACATGAGCTGACCGGTCATCGCATCGTATTCAGTGGAGAGGTCGGCCAACGCCCAGTCCGACAGATCGATAATGAATACTGTCACGAGCAGCAGCAATATGCTATACCGCAATCCAGTTTGGAAACATGCTTTTGAATGCCAGCCAAAAGCGAACTGGATAAGAGAAGCAAATGGAACAGACGCGAGTACGTTTTCTTCACGCTTAGAAACATTCCTTTGGGATTCATCCATGCCTTCTGATGTAGTTTTTAAAATTTTTAAAAGGATGGCGTACAGTAACAACCTGCTAATAATAATTATATGTTTACCGAACAAGTCCTGAACTGTAACATAAGCTTACAATTCCCGTCAAGTACGGTAGGTGTGGTGCAAAGCTAAGGGTATTAACATTTACTGTATGTAAAATGTAGAACTGACAGTTGTAATCGAGGTTCGCTTTGTTAGATCGGTAGAAATATCGCTTGGTAAACAGTGTGTGAAGAAACAGCTGACAGGAAAACAAACAGTAAGTTAAAATGTGAAACCCTTACGCCAAAATGTAACAGTAGCGGTGTATACACAGTTCAATAAATAAACACTCAGTCAGCCCAGTGTGCATAAAGTAAATACCCAGTCAGCATAAAATAACCACGAGTTTTCGCTTTTCCCAGTCCGTTTACAATAAATGGCGCACTGGCGCAAGCACCATATGGGTCATACAGAGGGTGCGCCACCCGGGTTGTTACACTTTCCGCAGAAAATTCATTCTTAGTTGATGGTTGAACTTAGCACAAAATCTGCTGATGCAGTTTGATTACTTAATTATGCCAATGCGTTAAACATGTAATTGTTATAAGTAAATGGCCATCACGGTCTCTCCTGTTCAAGCAGCAAGGGGAGATGGTAACGTCATACCGAATTAAACAACGAAGTTAAACGCTCCTTGGAGACTGCGGGTTACCCTTGTCAGTCCGAACCGTCGGGCCTGTCAGATATAGAAAACAAACGTCCCGATGGTATGACCTTAATTCCTGTACGCGATGGGAAAGCGGTTGTGTGGGATGCAACGTGCTGGGACACTGTAGCCGTCTCTCACGTGCGCGCTAGTTCTATGAAAGCCAGAAGTGTAGCGCAGATGGCAGAAGACTTCAAGCGCCGGAAATACGCCTTCGTCGAGGATTTGAGATAACTTTTCCACGCTCTGGCCGTCGAGACGCTTGGGACATTTGGATTGGCTTTCTCGGAGCTGATCCGGTTCGTCGGCCGCAAGATTCGTGTCATTACCGGAGAGCTTCGATCTACAGCCTTTTTGAGACAACGTTTAAATTTAGCTTTAGTCAGAGGGAATGCAGCGGCCATTTAGGGTACATTTAACGCACGTCCTAAACTCGCGCAAGACGCTAATGATTTTGGATGTTTTTTTCACTGTTTAAAATTCGGAACTTTTATTAGTGTAAACCCGCGCAGGCGTATTAATATGTAATTGTTATTGATTGTCAGTTATTTGTGAGCTGAAGTAGTTCTGACGACGGCCAGAGGAAAAAATTTCGATCACGAGTCACGACGTTTCGCTTCCTAGTTGTGTTTTAGAGCGATTGTAAAATCAGTGTTTGAGTTCGTCACGTTCCATTAGATTCCGTACAGTGCCGGAGAGTTCGATTAGGTATGTGCCACCATTGAGCGCTGCCATTAGTCTGCCTAAACAATCTGGGCCATATGTGGAGATAAAAGTGACAACATACAGATTAATCAAGAACGAACCGCAGAGTTCTGATTACTGAGCGGAATCAGATGGAAACTTCGCTCGTCGGGTAAATAATGTGTTAAGACAACAATACCAAGAACTTTGGGACGGTGCGATAAAACCACGATATCGCATAACCGGTAACGCACGATGTGCTGACAACATAAAGCACACTTTCATGTTAAACGCGTTATTTCCTGTTTTTCGGCACTCGTGCCTCAATTTGTACCGTTTGTATAGTCGAAATGCACTTTTACGAAGTATGGTCACTGTGGTGGAAACCGTCCAAACGATCGCTGGATATCTGGAACGCCGTGAACGTGGAGATGGGCGGATTGCTGCAACTGGGCCACGTCGTTGGTCTGGAAGAAGCGACGGAGACTCCCCCACCACTTACAGTTGATTTCGGGTGCGCGACGCAACAACCCGTGCCAGTGGAGTACGGAAAAGTGTTCCACTTCTCCGACTTTTTGTTTGCTAAGTTACCAATGATTAAAACCAGAAAAAGGGCGTTCTGCAGCGTTCCTGCGGGAGACGAGTACGAGGACGTGCAAGTGCTGCTCCGCACGCAACATGATCATCCTTGGAAATGGCGTCCCGCAAAGCTTTGGTATTCGAATTCGAGTTTCTGCTAGGATACACTCTGGTGGAGATGTTGTTAGCGGTACGGCGCGTTCGCGAACTGATTCCCACACAACAGCTACGCGTGCCTCCCTCGGGAGTAGACCTCCAGCGACCGATGGTTCAATTTGGTGATTTTGTCAGCAGAACGTGCAGCGTGCCTGAAGGATACTGGACAACGGCTGAGCAGTCTGTGAGAGATTTGTTTTGCGAAAACTGGAAGAGTCGGGCAGAAAGAGCGCACATGGAGGAGAAGGTTTACGCATCCTGTCTGTTCTCAGTAAAACGATCACGTATCTGCAACGAGGTTATGAATCCTCGGTTTGTGTCACAGTTGGTACCAGTCGTCTATGTGTTTGTAGTTTGTGTCACAGTTGGTACCAGACGTATTGCCATATCACTTACCATTAAACCGCTTTCCTGTTATCAGACCTGCAGACACAACATATCGGTAAACATAGCCTCAGCGAGCTGGTGAAAACATTTGTTGCTCTCAAGGAAATACAACTGCAATTTTCGTGGTTAGATTAATGGATACCGCCGACAGAAAGGTAGATAAGAAAGACGAATCATTTGGACCGCTAATAAAGACATGTTTTCAAGAAGATTTATGAATGTAGATGTAACTCACGGTCGGAAGAGTTTTTACGCGTGAGAATCGGTATTGAGATACAACGAGGAAGTGATGTGTATGTCCTGAGTGTCCTCGGAACTTCTAACTACATTAGAGACAACGAAGACGCTTTTGTAGCTTTTGGATTGGCTGGGCGGGAATGATTAGTGACAGATGTTGTTTTTGTTGGCAACTTTGCTATGATTTTGTTAGCAACGGTATTCTTGCATTCCGCTGCATTGAGTACTTGTACTTTTTTTGTTCTTCAGTATTTTAGTGTTGCGATACTCAGTCTGAACAGCCATTGTTCAAACTTTACTCTAGACTCAGCTTCTAGTTCTATGTACGTAGTCGAGGTTCCAAGTGAACCGTCGGTACAACCAATCCAAGTTAAGCAAGTTCAAGTCAAAGTTAGTAATGCAAATTCAAGTTTAATAATCTGAGTCCAAGTCTGAGTAATCCAGATCCTAATCCAGGCATCAGCGCGGGCCGAAAAATACCGGTTTTTCGAAATTGTAGTCCATTTACTTAACTTTAAGCATAAACGTTCCCGTCAAAAATGGCCAAATAAAAATTAAATCATAACTGAGACTTGCGGCAAAGAACATATGCAATGGTGTTACTTGTTAAACACTTTGACCGAGCTCGTAGTTGTGGAGAATGGCAACACTGTATAGCGCTTGGTGTAATAGCCACCAAAACCTCCGGCCGACCAACAGGTACAAACCATCTTCAGCATGCGCAGTAAGTTCTGCCCCTTTTAACATCCGTGCGCCATTACGGTTTGTTTTAATGTGGTGGGCTCCTTAATTACAGTACAAAGTACTAAGATAGCTCAATGCAGTCACCAGCGTAAGCTACGCTAACGAAGCGTAATAAACGACTGATGCATTTCCGTCCCTTCTTTCAGACGCGGAAGACCTCGCTGACGCCCAGCACCGCCAGTTTACTCAGTTGACACACGTCCACCGTCCGTAAGTCCACGTCATCCCACCTGTATGCTGCCCCATCGCAACGAAATGGACTGAATCTGCCAAATTTCATCAAGAAATTACTCAATCATGAAAGATCTCTGCGCAGCGAAACAGCAAGAGCCACACAGTCACCTACATATTGAGGTATTCCCGAATCCCTTCCCAGCGCGCGGGATAGGCCATGTTACGCACCCAACGCTCACGGATTTGCGCCACTTTAGCGTAAAGGTCTTCGCTGACCGGCGGACAGTGGGCGTTGACGGTCCACATGAAGCGACTGGTCAGGGCGTCGTCGTCCTCGTACGCGGCGCAGTGAAACTCTGCGTAGGGCATCTTGATCTGCATCCGGTCGACGGCCAGCGGAGACTCCGGCGTGTTCAGCGGGACCATCAACTGCTGCTCCGTCAGCGGCAGGGAAGCGCTGGGATATCCGAAAAACAGCAGGCGCATGACGCGACCGAATAGATTGCACAGTGTCCAGTTGCGGAGGATGATGCGCTGACAGTAAGGGCGGAATATGGTAACTTCCTGCGCAAAGTAATGCACTGGGATGCCGCCGCCAAAATGGAGGTCGTAGTCGCGCAGGATGAGCAGCGGTATTCGGGGGTTTAGGGCTTCGAAAAAGTAGAACCATACCCATGATAGACGGCAGTTTTTGAGGGGACCGATGATCGTGAGGCTTTTCGTGGTGCAGCAGATGGAGCGGCCGAGAAGCAGCACGGCGCCGTGGTCCTGGTTGCCGCGGCACTGTGCTGCACCGTTGCGGCAGGATTCGCAATGGAAGATAATGTGCTGCGCATTGCGGGGATCTTCGAGGACCTGCTGCCACAGTGTGCAGACTCTGCCAAATAAAAGAGTTAATGGTTTTTGACTGGTCTTAGTGCGCGCAACGCCTTATGATTGCTTACCTTTTGGCGGTGGCTTGTGTCTGCAGGTCCAGCAGAAAAAGGGTCATGCTCCAAAGCGAAAGCGGCATGTAACAGAAGACGGCGCCTGGGAGTTCGGTCGACCTAACAACTACCCATAAAAGGTTGGTTAGTAAAGAAGAGAAGAGATAGGAAAACATTGGTTAGCAAAGAATAGATAGGTACTTTGATTAAAGAGAGTTATTCCACTAACCCTGTTCTTCAACCTCGCATTGACTATTCTTTCTGCCACGTGGACTCCATCTCTCCAGGACTGGTGGACTGACCAGATCCGTGGCGAATCCGCCCTGCTCGACGCGGTGCTGTTGCAGCACCTGCAACAACGTGGAGGTCGTCCATTCCGCCGGCATGACAGCAATCGGGGCGCTGAGGACGATAAAGGTGCAGCTGTCCGTCCCGACGCGGAGGTGGAAGCGACAGGGATCGCGAAAGTCTTTTAACGCGGCGTTGCTGCTTAAGGCTTTGCGGAGAAGCTGGACGAGACAGCCGCGATCAGCGGTTGTTTGGAGGACAGACGCCGCGCCAGGAAATGGAATAACGTTCTTGACATACTGGAGGCCATGGGTGGCGCTGGCGCCGGAGATCCGGGCGGACGGTAATTCGAGAATAACCTGACACCGGTCGACCACTTCGAAGCCAACATAAAATCCCAACAACTCACTGTCCGCCGTGGAATGTAGCGTCCTGACAAAAAACATGCTGGTGTAATTGTCGCCCGTCCAGACACTGCCCTTTATAACCGCCGCACGGAAGCGGTAGGGCCCGTTGTCTTCATCCCGCAGCGCCACCTGCACCGGCGTATTATAGCAGTTGTCATAAATCCAATCGCCGGCCGACAGAGCCAGCCACACGCGACTGGCCTCTATCCAGGACGGTTCCATCCCTTGCGCGTCAAAGTCAACCAGAATAGAATGGCCGTCGTCGGAGATGTCCTGAATGTATCCCAGCCAATAGGCATCATCGTCGCTGCCAGTCCGCACAACCACCGTGTTCTGGTATCCAAAGGATTGTCCATCCGCCGCATTCAACATTCGCCGGAATGGCGGCAACGCTGCTACGGAGGCCATGATTCTCTGATCAAGTAAAATTCGCACCTTGTGCAGGTCGTGGGTCGATCAGCACCCGAGGGGATTTATTTCTTGGCTGGAAAAATATGCTGATTAGAGCCAGGAAACATTTTCCGAATTATATGACGCCGCTAACCAAGAGCTGAAGTGGTTTCAGGGAACGAAAGGGAATGAGCTGCTTAACGGTTTGTAAGGAGTTTAATTGTAGCCATTAAAATTATACTCTAAAGATATTCAAAGAAAACGCAAATAATCGACATGGAACTGTTAAAAGAATGGGTTCACGTGCAGCGACAAAGTCTTTCAAGGATTTTGAACACTTCACGCCGTTGTGCAATGGTACTGTCTACACGGATCGTACGGCGCAGCTGGGGTGCGCTTCTCCTTTCGTTGTTTTTCGGGCATTTCTCGGTTTTCTTCGGATGGCACCCTGCTTGGTGTACCGTATTTACAACCGTTATTAATTTTTGCTTTGGTCCGGCGTGTGAAGCTGAACAGAGAGTCTCCTATCTTTGTGGCTAGTGTGCAGTCCCATGTAGGTCAGTCCAAGCAGTAGCAACAGTAGACAATACGAGTCACTGGGGCCAAGACTCAAACTCTGACTCTGATTCTGACTACTCAAAGTCTGACTCTGACCGCTCAAAGTCTGACTCTGTCTACTAAAAGTCTGACTCTGATTCTGAAGGTTTCTTAGGTTTTTCTTAGGTTTCTTAGGGTTTTCTTAGGTTTCTTAGGTTTTTCTTAGGTTACTTAGGTTTCTTTGGTTTTTTTTAGGTTTCTTAGGTTTCTTAGGTTTCTAGGTATTTCTTAGGTTTGGACAGTCATAGTCAAACTTTAAGTGGTCAGAGTCAGAGTTTGAGCGGTCAGAGTCAGAGTCAGAGCTTGAGCGTGGGCCAGTCACTGGCTGGCCTGCGCAGCTGCTAAACGGTCAACAGTCTGGTTAATTTGGCATGACATTCGCTCATCCTAGTGATTTCTATTTAGAGTCGCTACGTTCTATTGGGTTAAATTGCACCATAGGCCTTATTACAGCCAGGTAATTTTTAGGCTCTTTTCTTGTGCCCATTTTTTATCTACGGTTACCATCGCGTTACAAGAGTTATTAAGTATGAAAGAGGAACTTGTGACAGTATCAAACACTTTACATTATTGATCTGCAAATACAGTTAAAAAAATGTGCTTTTCGCTGACTCTGTCGATTTTGATAATTATGAGGAAGCTAGATGCAGTACAGATGAGGCGTGTTTGACAAGTACAGATAGATTATCTGTGGTGCAGTGAGCCGCCAAATATCAAACACAATGCGCAGTGGAGGCTATGTGGTCTTGGCGCATCGGCTACTATCGCCATATTTCAACCGACGCTCGTATGTAAAGTTCAGCTGGAAGCCAGTACAGGGATTCAGATGGAACAAAAATATGCTGCTGGAAGCCAGTAAAGCCATCACCGACAGAGGCCAGATCTGTCGGCTTGTCAGCATCCTTTCGATTACTTGAGTTGAGCAGAAGATATTAACTTCTTGAGAACTAAAACCATCGTGTTCCAGGACGAAAACAACCTCGCCCATAAACTTGTGCACCTTTAAGTTTTGGGTGACTAATTACTGCAATACATTACTGTAAATAATCATGAATTTTCTATCGAACTGTGGTGCGCGTGCCGCTGCTACCAGTACGAAAACTACAACCAAAATACGGTAATTATAAGTGTTTCCATCTGCAACTTCCAAAAACGTTTGTTGTCTTTACCTTATAGATTCTGTTTATACTTTATTGTTATGTGTACTTCCGCACATGAGAATGGAGTCCGTGTGAAGATATTTATATTTGACTACTGTACAGTCTGCGCGCGCGACATCCGGTTCGGGAGTTCGGGAGTTATTAGTGAAAAAAATTCCAAAGGTTTAAACGCGGAGGTGTACCAAAAGTCTAATTATTAACCGATGCTCTTCAAATTTTTCATAAAAAACTCACATTACTATGAAGGTCGTTTGTCACCACACAAGCTTGCCACCATTTTTTTCAAATGTTAGAATAATTTGGATGAAGCTGCCGGATGAACTGACTAAACTGCGCTAGCCGGGCGTTGCTGATGGCCCCGCATTCGGAGCAGGGCTGATGTGCACGGCTGTCGCTGGGAATCGGGTTCATGCACCCCGGTGTCACGCAGCGTAATGGGTTAATCTCGGCGTCCTGAAAGAAACCATGCAGTGGCATTACATTAAAGTATCAGACTACGGTACAAACAAAAAGATGGTGAGCATCGTACGTATTCAGGTGTGCATCGGCGACATGCACACGGATACCCGTAGCGCTTCTCGAAATCAGCGCGACGTTCCTCTCGTGTTTGAGAGAATGGATCCAGGGCGTCGTTGTATCGCAGCTGCAAGACGTGCCATTATTACATGGCAATGAAGCATTACCGCGCATAATCTCCAAACTCCAACGTTGAAATAAAAATTAGGTGGAACGACTTTCACCCATTCTATTCTTAATTACTGTGTATCTACGACTTCACGTGAAAAACCATGGCACTAACATCCTCAAGTCCGGTATACTGTGGAATGTCTTCTACGGCATGTATGAGCAGTCGCCGCCCTTGGAAGTTCAGCACCACGTTGACGTCCCAGCACACGGGCGTCATCCGCGGCAGTGGTGCCTGTGGATACAACGCCATGCCGAAAGGTGCGGTGACGTGGCACAGTGCATCATGCATGGGCACGCTGTTGTAGCGGACGAGTCCGTAATAGACCAAGAGTTCTTGTGACAGGTACACCGATGGCTTTCAGCTCCTCCATACCGTGCCTGCCAACAATCACGGGCCACTCAGTACTAGGCAGGATGTACTTCACGAAAAAAAATTAACTTACGATGGTGTTACAGTCCGGTTGATTTCCGATTGTGCGGGATTGACTGGCAGCATGGATAGCAGGTCTTTGGCAGATTTTCGACCCATACCCGGGATGTCCATCATCACGTTTAACTAAGCAAAAATTAACAGGAGCATGTCAACAGATATCAGAGAACTCGCACCAAGGGGGGAGTATGCCATCAATTTGAGGCGACCTCGGTCAAAAAAACATTTATAGTGTATCCCCCTCTTGCGAATTTGTTCGATCTCAGAGTTACGGGGGGTGTGGGGTGGACCACCGCCCCTTGACTAAATTCGCCACTTAGTAAAGCATGGAAGAGGAAGATGCTAATTTGAGTGGTGCGCTTCTTATAATTAGTGCCAGTTAGTGTCACAGTAAAGGGATCAATTTAAATTTCAAATTTTACAAATATCCCAAAAATCTATGAAGCGCTATTTTTACAGATTAGAACTGCCGTCATGCTCCTGCCACTGACTGCCCCAGTATATTGACCCAGCTACTGCGTATGCAAAAAAATTAGATTAACTGAGCCGACAGCTGATTATTTTATTTTACCTTGATCTTGTTGGCCAACTTGGCGATGATATCCCGACCAGTGGCGGTCTTCAGCAGGACGCATTCCAGTTTATGCTCCAGCTTCCAGTCAGCAGACTATTCAAAAAAGCCCATATCACTATATCAGCCCATTCAAACACTCTTCTTCGTGATTTGCAACAATAAACTCCGATCGTCTCCTTGAAATTTACAGAATACTTCGCTGATACCACGAAGAACCCAGCAGAGCGAGAACTGTCAATCCTCAGACAAAAAACTGAGGAACCACCTAGTCACACCTGGCACGCGACGCTGCAGTAGCGGTGAAGTTTGCATCCTGAACAGGTACGCAGTTCCTGGCTCTTTTGCAGGCAGTAGGCACAACGTGTTTCATAGGCGCTGCTGTCAAGTACCCAAACCAAAGGCTCGCAGCACGAAACAACATCGCCAGCCGTGAAAGAACGGCAGTCCGTGGTCTCTTTTGTTTCCATTCGGAACAAATGGATAATCTTACAGATACACTATGACACGAATGCAGGAAAACGAAATCCAACAATACCAAATGTCCAAATCCAAGTTTTCGTAGACCCAGCGATCCACGTAAACACTAAACACATGCTTGGCGTCTAATGAGTACAGTACGCTTTCTGCAGTCTGCACTCTGTAACAGAGAACGTAACATCTGTCGCGCTGTCTGCTTGTTGCTTGTTGTATGGAGCAGCCGCCCTCGGTGGCTGACGGTGCAGATTTCAAGCATTTCCGATGGGAATGATCAGTTTTATTACTTCCTTTTCCCCCTATTCTTGTATTTTCCATGGCTGGGAGGCATTTGCAATTGATGATTCTCGCCAGGATGGTGCCCTGGGGCGGTTGGGAGCCGTGCGACTCAGGTGCGACGGGAAGTCATCGTAGGCACATAACAACAAGTGCTTATCCCGGCACTTTTTAAACAGTGCGCGCTCGCAAACTATGTTGTTGATTTATTGACAGATACATGAAAATTTACAGAAAACCATTCTCTGCAAACGACCAAAAATGTGTGATAAAATGTTTACGGTATTCTTAAATTTAGCGCTAATGCTACGACCACGGTATTGCATTACCGCCTCAAAAATTTCAGCACACGAACAGAAACAGAGCGAATGCATAATTCTCTGTTGGCGCAGTCCAAAATCCCTGTTTGTTAGTGACGTCAAAATGACACACTGCCAGCCTGCAGTCTCGGCGAGAATCACGAATGGGGAGAATCACTCGAACTTTAAAGCGGCTTCATCTCAACAACAGAAAATAAAAAAAATCGCATCTAGTTTATAGTAGAAGCTGAGCTCCAGAGTCTGTAGTTTTGCTTGAATGTAATCATTTCCGAATTCACGATAAATACACCAGTACGCTTTACTGCTTTTGTGTTCCTTGCTATCTAATTAATTTTGGTAGTTTAATTATTATTTTGTGGTTTCTACTTTCTAGCCGCATAACGCTGATTAATACGCGTCCCAAGGGAAAACCGCATAACTATCTGTAGAAGTACTAAAAACGCGCCGCCAAGTCGCGTGTGGTTGCGTCGATGCGCATGACCGGCGCGTGCACCTGTTGTTCATTGCATAACTAACTTTAATCTTTCATGGGAAGTGTATCGATAGTCTTGGGTGGTATGTTGGAAAGTGTGATAACGGAGAGGAATGTCCTTGGAAATGTTGTGAACTGAATATAATGGCATGTGTCTAGACCGTCTTATTTTGTGGCAGTGTGCTTTTGGCGGAAATGATGGAATCATATTTTCACTTTACGATCTTACGATTTGAGCAAAATACAGCTTGCGGTATTAAACGACTAAACATCGTTGTTGCGGGATATCGCAAGGTCATACACGTAGCCGTGTGTATACGGGCGTAACATAGTACTGTAATGAGTAATCTTCATAAGCCCCGCGCAAATTGTACGAGATAAATATGGATGATTAGTTCAAAGCAAATACATATCTGATACCGGTAAATTAGATATTTTACTAGTTACGAGTCTGTGCAAGTAAGGCATAATTATCTAAAGCCGTGTACGAGCACATTAAGGAAAGCATGACCGTGCTAATTTCGTTGCTGCTGACATGCCGGACATCGCTAGCTTCGAACACACACTTTTGCCGACGAAGTCGCTCATCTAGAAAACCCAACCTCCGTTTTCCTTCAAAACTATTAAATGCCTGATACTTAATGGGTACAACTACGATTATGCTAGCACCCAGCACAAGAGAAATGTGACATTAATTTTGTATCCAGTTACAGTGTTTGTTACGTTCTCTTTGGACTGTGGGTGTACGAAAAATAATCACAACCATTATTTTTAGGTTAACAAAGGATATAAGGTAAAGCAACTAAGATCAGAATTTTTAAACTCGACCCAAGTCAGCCAACACCGAATCCGGGATCCTTGTGTCCTTATTAACTCGACGCGAAACCGTTAAGCGCTTGCAGGATGCAAGTAGGTCCGGATGAAGAGCGCGATAGAAAAACAGCGAAAAATATCAATCCAGGGTGTTATGTCCCCGTGTTATGTGGAGCTCGGCTGATCGCCCTACGGAAAAGATGGCGGACTGCGTCCAATCGCCGTTGGTAATACATACCGCCGCATCGCCGCCAAAGCCGTGGACCTCCGTATGCGGCCGATCGCAGCAAGGCATCTCGAACCACATCAGCTAGGTGCGGGCGTCAAGAAAGGTGCCGAAGGTGTTATACACGCCGCCAGAGATTTTCTCCTGTGCTACAGCAGTGACGTAAAGGTGCTCTTAAAAATCGACTTTGCCAACGCATTTAACTGCGTTTCCAGAGAGCATTTCCTGAAGATTGTAGCAGAATTCTTCCCGACTACTACCCTTTATTCGAATGTGCTATGCTACCCATTCCTGGCTTATACCGGGGAAACACGGATCTTTTCTCAGTCGGGTGTGCAGCAAGGGATCCTCTCGCACCGGTATTGTTCTGCCTGGTTCTCCAACTCATCGTAAACTTAGGATACCAAGCCGAACGCTTGGTATATGGACGATGGGACTCGGAGGCGACGTGTAGTGTCCTGCGTAATTTCCAGTTGCTAATTACGGAAGCGCAAAAGATCGGTGTCGCAGTCAACATCTCCAAGTGCGAATTGTTTCTCTGAGGCGGAACGGAAGCCCAAAGGACAGCGGCTGCTCAGCGCTTTTACAGCGTATTCCCCTGATCTGAAGGTTGTGCCGGCTGACCAGCTCAATCTACTGGGGTCTCTGTTGCCATCAGGAGTCGTACCGATGATCGGAAAAAGATGGAGAAACTGGAGATAATGTGCACTCGACCACTCTTAATACCTAATCACCAGGCATTATTTTTACTTAAAACTGTCTGGGCGTGCCAAAAGTCGTGCATATTTTACGTACTTCACTCGCATGGATGTTCCCGGAAGAGCTGTACAGGTTGGACCAGCTGTTCCTCGACGCAGTCGAGCGCATAACCAATGTCCAAATGGATTACCCGACATGGCTGCAAGCATCCCTGCCCGTCCGCCTGGGTGGTTTGGGTATCAGACGTACCGAGGAGCTAGCTCCCTCAGCCTACTTGGCTTCGGCTTCTTCGTTACGCCCACTGATCTCAAGACTGTGCCCAGTGCTACTGGCTACGGATGTAACCTGCGTTGTACACGCCTGGAAACTGCAAGCGAAGACCGATGAACTTCCAACAGAAAGTCTTCGTCACGTGCAGAAAGCATGGGACACGCCCGCTACACTTGCGACTTTCTCCGAATTAACCCAACTGCGTGGATCACTGGACCAGGTCGCGCATCTCAAAGCTGTATCAGTACCCGAATCTACTATCTAGTATCTGGATTCACGCGCTTCCCGCTGCCTGTCTCGGAAACCTACTGACATCACGGCCTTCCGAATCAGCGTCGCTTTACGGTTAGAGCGCCTATTGTTACTCCTCACGTTTGCGTTTGCGGCATGCAAGTTGATGAGTTGGGCCGGCATGGACTGCTGCAAGCGCTCAGCAGGAAGACTGCCAAGGCACGACGGTATTAGCGGTGAGATCGCCCGGGGCCTTAAGACAGCGGGCTTTCCAGCCAGAACGGAGCCAAAGGGCCTGTCGGGTAAAGACAACAAAAGGCCGGACGTCATAACTCTAGTACCATGGGCACGGGGTAAACCACTGGCTGTAGATGTTACCTGCGTTGACACACTCGCGGCCTCCTATATTGATCGCACTTCCGTGAACGCTAGAGCCGCTGCGGAGCAAGCCGAAAGGGGAAAGTTATCGAAGCACAGCTGGCTGATGCCACGATACGATTTCGTTGCGGCGGCGTTTGAGATTCACGGACCGTGGAGTGGTGGCACTAAGAAACTTGTGGACAAGGTTGGAAGCTGCCTAATATCTGCCACTGGCCAGAAACGCGCCAAAGAGTTTCTTCGGCAGCGTTTGTCTATACAGATACAGCGCGGGAATGCGATATGCGTTATGGGCACGATTCCCGAGCAGGACAGTATAGGAGAATTTTTCTTGTTGTGATTGGGGTGTATCTCCTGCGGATGATTGTTTCATTGTTTTCCGTTGTACCATAAACTGTTGGCACTAGATATACGAGTAATACAATACAGTTAGTGAAAAAAAAAATGCAGGGGTTATGCCAATTTTAGTGTAGTGGCCACCGTCTTTTAAGCGCTAATATCGCATTTAGTGTGCATTAGCTGTACTTCTACCTTTACGTGCTCTAACTCCGGACCGGCCTGTAATCCTGGTGATTTGTTCGTTTGTGGCTCGAAATTCACTTGATGTAGTGTTTCACTCCGCAGCCGTCTGATCATTTGAAAGATTAACATCCTTTCCCGAGTTCCAGAGCGGCTGTGGTTGCGTTTGTTTCAGCAATGTTGCAACCAACGTTGCAAGGCGCAGATCCACAACAGACACTAATTTATTATTGACTGTCTGTCCATTACAGGAAGTATGCCACTCGTTTGACGTTAAGATAAGAATTTGTGTGTTCATAATCATAAGTTAGATAAATCAATGCCAGATGTGCAGAAACATAATCAAAATGAACAAAAAGTTATGTCTTTCCAGTTAATCAATGCATAAAGACTCGAACGCACTGGTCATGGATGGATATGGATTGACATATATGGATTTACAAATTTCACTCCCCGGAATTTTTCTTGATGGATTCTTCATCATGTTGCGTTATTATTCCGCGGCTGCTGAGCAACAGTTCTGCATGTACTGTAGTGCGACAAGGCCTGCAGGCAGAATCGGTTCAGTTTGCTGACGTCTACGCTAACCACATTGTCCACACTCCACTGATATTCCCGATAATGTGCCGACGGACGAGGATCACAAGACTGGTAGTCTTCCAAAATCTGTAAATTTATTCAGCAGGTTACACACTTTCTGCACCAGTAAACAAGAACAGTTTTACAGCTTAGGACAAAATGGTCGCATACCCAACATCTCCACATTCAGTACGAATGCAGCGCGGTGCACTGTACGACTGAGTTCAAAATATCCGTTTCGTACAAGTGCACTGCACCGCTTGCGTACAGAATGCGTATGGGAATATGCGACCATTTAGTCCTACATTGTAACTACCCGAGTCCTTTGATTAGATATATTTCGGTTTTTCTCACATTTTTACCACTTTAAGTACATCTTTTCCGTGACAGCCCAAGTGGTCACGGGACATTTCGCCGTGAGACATGTCGCCGCACGTGTTTCGTCGCAGCGGATAATTGTTTTGAAACAGCTCATTTTGCAGCCGTTTTGTTGTGTGACATTTGGTTGCGCGACTTTTGCAGAGTCGAAAAGTTATCGACTGGTTTATGGCAACGTACAGTCATACGACTATCTGCCACAAAAACTAGTTGTCCTTCGACGAAATGTCCGTAAAACCAATTGTCCCGCGACGACCTGTCGCAGGACTGTATGAGACGCACTAGCTAGTAGCTAGCTATTTTTAGAGTTAACTGATTCGGGTACTGATACAGCTTTGAGATGCGCGACCTGGTCCAGTGATCCACGCAGTTGGGTTAATTCGGAGAAAGTCGCAAGTGTAGCGGGCGTGTCCCATGCTTTCTGCACGTGACGAAGACTTTCTGTTGGAAGTTCAACGGTCTTCGCTTGCAGTTTCCAGGCGTGTACAACGCAGGTTACATCCGTAGCCAGTAGCACTGGGCACAGTCTTGAGATCAGTGGGCGTAACGAAGAAGCCGAAGCCAAGTAGGCTGAGGGAGCTAGCTCCTCGGTACGTCTGATACCCAAACCACCCAGGCGGACGGGCAGGGATGCTTGCAGCCATGTCGGGTAATCCATTTGGACATTGGTTATGCGCTCGACTGCGTCGCGGAACAGCTGGTCCAACCTGTACAGCTCTTCCGGGAACATCCATGCGAGTGAAGTACGTAAAATATGCACGACTTTTGGCACGCCCAGACAGTTTTTAAGTAAAAATAATGCCTGGTGATTAGGTATTAAGAGTGGTCGAGTGCACATTATCTCCAGTTTCTCCATCTTTTTTCCGATCATCGGTACGACTCCTGATGGCAACAGAGGAGACCCCAGTAGATTGAGCTGGTCAGCCGGCACAACCTTCAGATCAGGGAATACGCTGTAAAAGCGCTGAGCGGCCGCTGTCCTTTGGGCTTCCGTTCCGCCTCAGAGAAACAATTCGCACTTGGAGATGTTGACTGCGACACCGATCTTTTGCGCTTCCGTAATTAGCAACTGGAAATTACGCAGGACACTACACACGTCGCCTCCGAGAGTCCCATCGTCCATATACCAAGCGTTCAGCTTGGTATCTAGAAGTTTTACGATGAGTTGGAGAACCAGGCAGAACAATACCGGTGCGAGAGGATCCCCTTGCTGCACACCCGACTGAGAAAAGATCCGTGTTTCCCCGAGTATAAGCCAGGAATGGGTAGCATAGCACATTCGAATAAAAGGGTAGTAGTCCGGGAAGAATTCTGCTACAATCTTCAGGAAATGCTCTCTGGAAACGCAGTTAAATGCGTTGGCAAAGTCGATTTTTAAGAGCACCTTTACGTCACTGCTGTAGCACAGGAGAAAATCTCTGGCGGCGTGTATAACACCTTCGGCACCTTTCTTGACGCCCGCACCTAGCTGATGTGGTTCGAGATGCCTTGCTGCGATCGGCCGCATACGGAGGTCCACGGCTTTGGCGGCGATGCGGCGGTATGTATTACCAACGGCGATTGGACGCAGTCCGCCATCTTTTTTCCGTAGGGCGATCAGCCGAGCTCCACATAACACGGGGACATAACACCCCTGGATTGATATTTTTCGCTGTTTTCTATCGCGCTCTTCATCCGGACCTACTTGCACATCCTACTGCAAGCGCTTAACGGTTTCGCGTCGAGTTAATAAGGACACAAGGATCCCGGATTCGGTGTTGGCTGACTTGGGTCGAGTTTAAAAATTCTGATCTTAGTTGCTTTACCTTATATCCTTTGTTAACCTAAAAATAATGGTTGTGATTATTTTTCGTACACCCACAGTCCAAAGAGAACGTAACAAACACTGTAACTGGATACAAAATTAATGTCACATTTCTCTTGTGCTGGGTGCTAGCATAATCGTAGTTGTACCCATTAAGTATCAGGCATTTAATAGTTTTGAAGGAAAACGGAGGTTGGGTTTTTCTAGATGTGCGACTTCGTCGGCAAAAGTGTGTCTGAAGCTAGCGATGTCCGGCATGTCAGCAGCAACGAAATTAGCACGGTCATGCTTTCCTTAATGTGCTCGTACACGGCTTTAGATAATTATGCCTTACTTGCACAGACTCGTAACTAGTAAAATATCTAATTTACCGGTATCAGATATGTATTTGCTTTGAACTAATCATCCATATTTATCTCGTACAATTTGCGCGGGCTTATGAAGATTACTCATTACAGTACTATGTTACGCCCGTATACACACGGCTACGTGTATGACCTTGCGATATCCCGCAACAACGATGTTTAGTCGTTTAATACCGCAAGCTGTATTTTGCTCAAATCGTAAGATCGTAAAGTGAAAATATGATTCCATCATTTCCGCCAAAAGCACACTGCCACAAAATAAGACGGTCTAGACACATGCCATTATATTCAGTTCACAACATTTCCAAGGACATTCCTCTCCGTTATCACACTTTCCAACATACCACCCAAGACTATCGATACACTTCCCATGAAAGATTAAAGTTAGTTATGCAATGAACAACAGGTGCACGCGCCGGTCATGCGCATCGACGCAACCACACGCGACTTGGCGGCGCGTTTTAGTACTTCTACAGATAGTTATGCGGTTTTCCCTTGGGACGCGTATTAATCAGCGTTATGCGGCTAGAAAGTAGAAACCACAAAATAATAATTAAACTACCAAAATTAATTAGATAGCAAGGAACACAAAAGCAGTAAAGCGTACTGGTGTATTTATCGTGAATTCGAAATGATTACATTCAAGCAAAACTACAGACTCTGGAGCTCAGCTTCTACTATAAACTAGATGCGATTTTTTTTATTTTCTGTTGTTGAGATGAAGCCGCTTTAAAGTTCGAGTGATTCTCCCCATTCGTGATTCTCGCCGAGACTGCAGGCTGGCAGTGTGTCATTTTGACGTCACTAACAAACAGGGATTTTGGACTGCGCCAACAGAGAATTATGCATTCGCTCTGTTTCTGTTCGTGTGCTGAAATTTTTGAGGCGGTAATGCAATACCGTGGTCGTAGCATTAGCGCTAAATTTAAGAATACCGTAAACATTTTTATCACACATTTTTTGGTCGTTTGCAGAGAATGGTTTTCTGTAAATTTTCATGTATCTGTCCAATAAATCAACAACATAGTTTGCGAGCGCGCACTGTTTAAAAAGTGCCGGGATAAGCACTTGTTGTTATGTGCCTACGATGACTTCCCGTCGCACCTGAGTCGCACGGCTCCCAACCGCCCCAGGGCACCATCCTGGCGAGAATCATCAATTGCAAATGCCTCCCAGCCATGGAAAATACAAGAATAGGGGGAAAAGGAAGTAATAAAACTGATCATTCCCATCGGAAATGCTTGAAATCTGCACCGTCAGCCACCGAGGGCGGCTGCTCCATACAACAAGCAACAAGCAGACAGCGCGACAGATGTTACGTTCTCTGTTACAGAGTGCAGACTGCAGAAAGCGTACTGTACTCATTAGACGCCAAGCATGTGTTTAGTGTTTACGTGGATCGCTGGGTCTACGAAAACTTGGATTTGGTATTGTTGGATTTTGTTTTCCTGCATTCGTGTCATAGTGTATCTGAAAGATTATCCATTTGTTCCGAATGGAAACAAAAGAGACCACGGACTGCCGTTTCTTCACGGCTGGCGATGTTGTTTTGTGCTGCGAGCCTTTGGTGTGGGTACTTGACAGCAGCGCCTATGAAACACGTTGTGCCTACTGCCTGCAAAAGAGCCAAGAACTGCGTACCTGTTCAGGATGCAAACTTCACCGCTACTGCAGCGTCGCGTGCCAGGTGTGACTAGGTGGTTCCTCAGTTTTTTGTCTGAGGATTGACAGTTCTCGCTCTGCTGGGTTCTTCGTGGTATCAGCGAAGTATTCTGTAAATTTCAAGGAGACGATCGGAGTTTATTGTTGCAAATCACGAAGAAGAGTGTTTGAATGGGCTGATATAGTGATATGGGCTTTTGAATAGTCTGCTGACTGGAAGCTGGAGCATAAACTGGAATGCGTCCTACTGAAGACCGCCACTGGTCGGGATATCATCGCCAAGTTGGCCAACAAGATCAAGGTAAAATAAAATAATCAGCTGTCGGCTCAGTTAATCTAATTTTTTTGCATACCCAGTAGCTGGGTCAATATACTAGGGCAGTCAGCTGGCAGGAGTAGGACGGCAGTTCTAATCTGTAAAAATAGCGCTTCATAGATTTTTGGGATATTTGTAAAATTTGAAATTTAAGTTGAGCCCTTCACTGTGACACTAACTGGCACTAATTATAAGAAGCGCACCACTCAAATTAGCATCTTCCTCTTCCATGCTTTACTAAGTGGCGAATTTAGTCAAGGGCGGTGGTCCACCCCACACCCCCCCGTAACTCTGAGATCGACCAAATTCGCAAGAGGGGGATACACTATAAATGTTTTTTTGGCCGAGGTCGCCTCAAATTGATGGCATACTCCCCCCTTGGTGCGAGTTCTCTGATATCTGCTGACATGCTCCTGTTAATTTTGCTTAGTTAAACGTGATGATGGACATCCCGGGTATGGGTCGAAAATCTGCCAAAGACCTGCTATCCATGCTGCCAGTCAATCCCGCACAATCGGAAATCAACCGGACTGTAACACCATCGTAAGTTAATTTTTTTTCGTGAAGTACATCCTGCCTAGTACTGAGTGGCCCGTGATTGTTGGCAGGCACGGTATGGAGGAGCTGAAAGCCATCGGTGTACCTGTCACAGAACTCTTGGTCTATTACGGACTCGTCCGCTACAACGGCGTGCCCATGCATGATGCACTGTGCCACGTCACCGCACCTTTCGGCATGGCGTTGTATCCACAGGCACCACTGCCGCGGATGACGCCCGTGTGCTGGGACGTCAACGTGGTGCTGAACTTCCAAGGGCGGCGACTGCTCATACATGCCGTAGAAGACATTCCACAGTATACCGGACTTGAGGATGTTAGTGCCATGGTTTTTCACGTGAAGTCGTAGATACACAGTAATTAAGAATAGAATGGGTGAAAGTCGTTCCACCTAATTTTTATTTCAACGTTGGAGTTTGGAGATTGCGCGGTAATGCTTCATTGCCATGTAATAATGGCACGTCTTGCAGCTGCGATACAACGACGCCCTGGATCCATTCTCTCAAACACGAGAGGAACGTCGCGCTGATTTCGAGAAGCGCTACGGGTATCCGTGTGCATGTCGCCGATGCACACCTGAATACGTACGATGCTCACCATCTTTTTGTTTGTACCGTAGTCTGATACTTTAATGTAATGCCACTGCATGGTTTCTTTCAGGACGCCGAGATTAACCCATTACGCTGCGTGACACCGGGGTGCATGAACCCGATTCCCAGCGACAGCCGTGCACATCAGCCCTGCTCCGAATGCGGGGCCATCAACAGCGCCCGGCTAGCGCAGTTTAGTCAGTTCATCCGGCAGCTTCATCCAAATTATTCTAACATTTGAAAAAAATGGTGGCAAGCTTGTGTGGTGACAAACGACCTTCATAGTAATGTGAGTTTTTTATGAAAAATTTGAAGAGCATCGGTTAATAATTAGACTTTTGGTACACCTCCGCGCGTTTAAACCTTTGGAATTTTTTTTCACTAATAACTCCCGAACTCCCGAACCGGATGTCGCGCGCGCAGACTGTACAGTAGTCAAATATAAATATCTTCACACGGACTCCATTCTCATGTGCGGAAGTACACATAACAATAAAGTATAAACAGAATCTATAAGGTAAAAGACAACAAACGTTTTTGGAAGTTGCAGATGGAAACACTTATAATTACCGTATTTTGGTTGTAGTTTTCGTACTGGTAGCAGCGGCACGCGCACCACAGTTCGATAGAAAATTCATGATTATTTACAGTAATGTATTGCAGTAATTAGTCACCCAAAACTTAAAGGTGCACAAGTTTATGGGCGAGGTTGTTTTCGTCCTGGAACACGATGGTTTTAGTTCTCAAGAAGTTAATATCTTCTGCTCAACTCAAGTAATCGAAAGGATGCTGACAAGCCGACAGATCGGCCTCTGTCATTGATGGCTTTACTGGCTTCCCGCAGCATAGTTTTGTTCCAGCTGAATCCCTGTACCGGCTTCCAGCTGAACTTTACATACGAGCGTGAGTTTAAATATGGCGATAGTAGCCGATGCGCCTAGACCACACAATATAGACATTGCTTCAACTTCAATCTAGTATCTGGATTCACGCGCTTCCCGCTGCCTGTCTCGGAAACCTACTGGACAACACGGCCTTCCGAATCAGCGTCGCTTTACGGTTAGGAGCGCCTATTGTTACTCCTCACGTTTGCGTTTGCGGCATGCAAGTTGATGAGTTGGGCCGGCATGGACTTCGCTGCAAGCGCTCAGCAGGAAGACTGCCAAGGCACGACGGTATTAGCGGTGAGATCGCCCGGGGCCTTAAGACAGCGGGCTTTCCAGCCAGAACGGAGCCAAAGGGCCTGTCGGGTAAAGACAAAAGGCCGGACGTCATAACTCTAGTACCATGGGCACGGGGTAAACCACTGGCTGTAGATGTTACCTGCGTTGACACACTCGCGGCCTCCTATATTGATCGCACTTCCGTGAACGCTAGAGCCGCTGCGGAGCAAGCCGAAAGGGGAAAGTTATCGAAGCACAGCTGGCTGATGCCACGATACGATTTCGTTGCGGCGGCGTTTGAGATTCACGGACCGTGGAGTGGTGGCACTAAGAAACTTGTGGACAAGGTTGAAGCTGCCTAATATCTGCCACTGGTCAGAAAACGCGCCAAAGAGTTTCTTCGGCAGCGTTTGTCTATACAGATACAGCGCGGGAATGCGATATGCGTTATGGGCACGATTCCCGAGCAGGACAGTATAGGAGAATTTTTCTTGTTGTGATTGGGGTGTATCTCCTGCGGATGATTGTTTCATTGTTTTCCGTTGTACCATAAACTGTTGGCACTAGATATACGAGTAATACAATACAGTTAGTGAAAAAAAAAATGCAGGGGTTATGCCAATTTTAGTGTAGTGGCCACCGTCTTTTAAGCGCTAATATCGCATTTAGTGTGCATTAGCTGTACTTCTACCTTTACGTGCTCTAACTCCGGACCGGCCTGTAATCCTGGTGATTTGTTCGTTTGTGGCTCGAAATTCACTTGATGTAGTGTTTCACTCCGCAGCCGTCTGATCATTTGAAAGATTAACATCCTTTCCCGAGTTCCAGAGCGGCTGTGGTTGCGTTTGTTTCAGCAATGTTGCAACCAACGTTGCAAGGCGCAGATCCACAACAGACACTAATTTATTATTGACTGTCTGTCCATTACAGGAAGTATGCCACTCGTTTGACGTTAAGATAAGAATTTGTGTGTTCATAATCATAAGTTAGATAAATCAATGCCAGATGTGCAGAAACATAATCAAAATGAACAAAAAGTTATGTCTTTCCAGTTAATCAATGCATAAAGACTCGAACGCACTGGTCATGGATGGATATGGATTGACATATATGGATTTACAAATTTCACTCCCCGGAATTTTTCTTGATGGATTCTTCATCATGTTGCGTTATTATTCCGCAGCTGCTGAGCACCAGTTCTGCATGTAGTGCGACAAGGCCTGCAGGCAGAATCGGTTCATTTGGCTGACGTCTACGATAGCCACATTGTCCACACTCCACTGATATTCCCGATAATGTGCCGACGGACGAGGATCACAAGACTGGTAGTCTTCCAAAACCTGTAAATTTATTCAGCACGTTACACACTTTCTACACCAGTAAACAAGAACAGTTTATTAGCTTAGATAAAATGGTCGCATACCCACATCTCCACATTCAGTACGAATGCAGCGCGGTGCACTGTACGACTGAGTTCAAAATATCCGTTTCGTACAAGTGCACTGCACCGCTTGCGTACAGAATGCGTATGGGAATATGCGACCATTTAGTCCTACATTGTAACTACCCGAGTCCTTTGATTAGATATATTTCGGTTTTTCACATTTTTACCACTTTAAGTACATCTTTTCCGTGACAGCCCGCGGTCACGGACATTTCGCCGTGAGACATGTCGCCGCACGTGTTTCGTCGCAGCGGATAATTGTTTTGAAACAGCTCATTTTGCAGCCGTTTTGTTGTGTGACATTTGGTTGCGCGACTTTTGCAGAGTCGAAAAGTTATCGACTGGTTTATGGCAACGTACAGTCATACGACTATCTGCCACAAAAACTAGTTGTCCTTCGACGAAATGTCCGTAAAACCAATTGTCCCGCGACGACCTGTCGCAGGACTGTATGAGATGCACTAGCTAGTAGCTAGCTATTTCTAGAGTTAAGTTCAACGCGATTCAGCGACACACTAATACCTGCAGCACGGTTTTGGCCTTCGGTTCACTGTCAGTGCGATTGGCCACGAAATGGGCTATGTCCTGCACATCCAGTGCCGGTCCCTCCCAGCGCAGATGCTGCTCAAATAAGTCCGCAATATGCGCCTCACTGACGCGCCCCGCCGCAAAGACAGTCCGGGGAATGTGGATGTTTATCAAAGGCACTCTCTTCTTGTCCACCAGTTTGAGGGTGTACGTAGTCCATATCACACGATCACAGCACGAGACCAACTGGGACAGGCGTGCGGCGTTTGTGCCTAACAGCGCGCTGAACTGCCATCGTCCATACGGTTCGGACATCGGAAATTCCAGCGAACACTGGGCGATGATCAGACGACCCAGACGCAAGCCGGCCGCGTCCAGAACCTTCTGAATACAGGTCAGTGGTTCTTCGATCCTTTCCCCGTCGAAACTGTAACGACGATACTCGTCCATGTCGCGGATGGAGAGCGTGCGGGTGGCGGGCGTGATGTGCTTGAAGATGCAGGCGTACATGGCGTAATTAAGCGTCCACTGCACTTGGTAGGGACTGCTCGGTAGTTCCCGCTTCACGTGCACGTCCAGGCACAGCTCCGCCGACGTGAGAAGGGCATCCCACAACGAGCAAGTCCGGCGGCAGCGCTGTCGGTCGACGGTGTCCAGTGAGCGAAAGATCTCCTGCAGCACATCCAAAGGCACCACCAAATCGCCTCCACCGACACCCAGCGGCTTTTTCCGCTTCGGCTCATCCTCAGCGTCCGACTCTGCAGGTATTTTGAGTAAATTGTGCCGGTAGTTGGTGTAGCTCTCGTGTCTGTCTTCAAACTCCATTTCCTACAATACCGATGCGAGAGTCGTTAGCATTATAACGAGGGTGTGCTAACAATTCGTGATAGACAAAAAACAAGCGAGATTAATATGTATTCTCGCTTGTTTTTTTTCTTATATTTTCTTGTGTTTCGTTCTTAATTATTAATGATAGCCAAGCAGCCAGCCGTCCACGCTCTGTTGTGAACAGCACTATTTCGTAGACGCATATGCTAACTTTTAACGCTAATTTCTCGTGTGTTTTGGAGTAGAGCTATTCAACCAATATTTATGGGACACAAATATAAATATGCAAACCAAGAAAAGCACTTTTGTTCACGTCACAGGCACCTCCCCTCTACGGCAGTTGGTTCGCATGGCGTGACGTAAATATGCAGAACTGGCATATCCCGCCCAGGATAAGCAAAATAAAGAAACTACTCCGGAGTAGTTTTTTTTGAAATGGCAACTCAGATAAGCTGCTTATTCCAACGTACTTTCGTGCACCTACAATACTTAATGAAATATGTTACGATCAGGATTCAGGAGGCGTAACAGCAGGTTCCTCAGGTTTTCCCTGATGGTTCTCTCGCATTCTAAAGCTGTTATGTTTGAAATAGTTTTCTTTAGCACTTAACAACGGTAGTCCGTAACTTCGTAATGTTTTTGAACTAATCATGTTCTGCTCTTCGTCTTCGAGCCCATCAGCATCTGAGGCTGTGCCTGTTCTACGGTGATCACATTTCGTCTCAAGAAAATACAAGAACTGGATCGAAGCATGAAGAGTAAGTTAAATTTTTTTTATTTTAACAAACAAAAAAAACTAAAAAAGCTGTAGTTTCCACAAATTTTAATTTAACATTTTAATTTATTAGTACCGTGCTTGAACGGAGCTGCATTAAATGCGCTGGGAAGATTTGAGTTACAGACTGCAGTAATATGCTTACAGTAATTAGTGAGTACTGTACCCGCCCGATAGATTTGCACCACTTTTAGATCCGGGCGCTGCCTTCCTCTGGCCGGGTATTGAGCACGAGCCTTCCGCCACCATGCGGCGCACACTTTGCTTTTTCTTGTTATTGCTATTTCCTACTTCTCACCCGTCTTTCAGATATCATTACTCTCTAGAATAATATTTGTGGAAAAACTAATTTCTTTTTTCCTTGTGAAAAACTGTTGTCCAATATTTTCATAGTCTTCATAAGAGCTCTAACATAACAGCAATCCATAGAGCCATTCAATCAAATGAAATACAAAACTCCTGCCCCTGCCAGGGGCACCCTAAAAACCACAACAAACCAGATTTATAAATTGAAAATCTTATTTATTAGAGCTCTGAAAGTGTGCTGTTACTACACTTATCACACTTTGAAAATGATACGAGAACTAGGGTAGAAACTAGAACAGCAAAAGCATGTAGAATGTTCGCGGCAAGTGCAACATAGCGAAAACTGCTTGAATTCATGCACGGAGCACAGTGCGTATATTGGACTTGCATTTTTCCGTATACCACACTCTGTGTTGCAAATCTATCGGGCGGATACAGTAATATGCAAGTCGGAAAACGGAACACAAAGCTAGAAAGTGCGAGTTAAATACGCAACAAAGATGGGCAACGGTTTATTATTGTCCTGTTTTGTCTCAGACGTGAACAAAAGTGCTTTTCTTGGTTTGCATATTTATATTTGTGTCCCATAATTATTATCCCAAAATGCAGAAAAAATCTACAAGAATTTTCATACCAAGCAAGTTACAATGAATAGCGAATAAAACAAGCTGTATTTACTGGTTCAACAGTTAAATGTCAAAATACAGGAGAATTCAGCGTTCGAAGCTTGCATAATTTAAGTGAGGGGTATTTTTTGTTGCGCTTAGAAGCCATGGCGAACCTAGATGGTTTCCCGTGTTGCACGAGCCGGGCATGGTTATTACATTCTTTTTCTCTTGTTTTCATGTCTATTACATTTACTTGGCGCATCCTCGTACTTCGAGAACACAACGCCACCATTGTCAAGAGACCTACCACTTTGTCATCACAAAAGGGAATGTCCTGACGGCGTCGCAGATAATACATCGTCCTGCTCAGAATATTCACAAAATGCAGCTCTAACGTTTCTTCAATTTCTCGGCACAGAAGCGCCGCGGCGGACGGCCTCATAACCCAGTAGCCGCTGGGAACGTTGCACGCATTGATGACGAAATGACCCGCGGGAAGGATTTCTCGTTGCTCGCTGTGTCCCTCCAGAAGGCGAATCTGCCGCTGGGGAAGCAGCTCGCGACGACACTGTCCGTCTATCATCACCTCCACCAACGCCACATCATCCAGCAGCTCAAAGGACGGAGTCAGGACTCTTCCGGGATGCCATCTCCAGGTCCGATCTGGGCCATCGTGCAGCAGCACCTCCACATCCTCTCCCTCGCGGGAGCATCTCGATGGCCTGCACCACCTCGGGATGGAGCAGTCCCGGGGCCGTCCCGTACGGGACCAGCACCGACTGCTGTTTCGGGCATCCGAAATCGACGATCAGACGCGGCTGTACGCTGTCGTTCTCTGGCTTCTCTTCCAGGCCGATGACGTGACCGTGTTGCAACAGGCCGTCGATCTCCACGTCCACCGCGTTCCATGCGTACAATCGGTACAATGATCGTCCAGCAATATCGTACAGGTGCATTCCTGTCTGCCTGGCTGCAGAGGCCTACTGTTAAACCGTTCGTAACGGTACGGTAAAGAAAATAGTCTTCCGTAAGAAAACCAAACAATGTGAAATACGACGTTTCTTTGGAAATTCAGGCTTTGACGGGAGAATTCTTTGGTTGATAATATTGCAAAATGTTGCTGCATAATAACACGCACCTGTAACTTACCGTTACCATGGAAATGCTAGTTTGGGACCTGCAATCCTGACCGGAGAGATCAGGATGCAAGATGACGAGGATATAAATAGAAACCGTAATAATCCATCCTACCGCCCTGATTCACTGGCAGAGTATAAAACTACTGAATAATTTATCTACCGGAGCGTAGCGAACGTCCTCTATATTCAAGACAAATGCTTTCGTTGATGTCTGTCCGTTACGGAAGGCTGTTAAAAAGATCGTTACGAAGGTGTCGCTAGCTGGTTTGGTTGTTAAGCTGAAATAAATAATTATTTTCTTTTGTTAACAATGCTACTGGTAAGACGCTAAAAATTATACTTAATTATCGCTCGCCACAAGCGCAAAAGCAGCTGCGCTCCCGAAAAGCAGGTGCGCTCCGGTCCGCCAAATGCAGGCCAACGTGGATTTTTAGTACATAGTTATTGGCTGCTATTATTATTTGGCAAAACAGAAAAATCATTGTGCAAATCTAATTGTGCGCAATACGCGTGGCCGTTGGTTTCCGGCAACGGCCCTGTCGCTACGATTTCCGGTCTCAGCGCCTAACATCGGTTTAGCGGAGAGACGGAAGGATAGTTCCAACAAGGAATCGGGCTGGTCCAGCAGAGCAGTGGTGGGCCAGCATAGTCAGCTGCAAATTTGACCAGGAACTCAACATCCAAATCGCGGATCCAATCCGCACACACTTTCGGATCAACGAGTGCCTAACGGCAACAAAAATATTTATTTTTCTGTAATTGGCCGACTACAGAGTACATGCATATAATTTTCCTGGCATAATTGCAGCAACTAGTGAACGCCATTCATGAACCAGGATAGCCACAAAACCGGTTCTATTAATAAGAAAATTGGATGACTGCTGTCAAAGCGGCTTACTAAGGCCCAAATTGTGGCGAAATGCTCTGGGCTGTTCGCTATGAGCTGTGTGATCCCCACAAGCGCTGAATTAGCCATCCGCTTTATTTATTAACGAAATTTAAAAATTAGTGATACCCGTATTATTGTTGATGTCTTCGAACTTCTTTACTTAGAGTTGGAACCGCATTCGTATAATACACATGCTACCATCGATTTTTATGCACAATACAATGCTGTCTCGGCGTGAGGACTCACCTTTCGGCAGCAATTTGCGAGCGGAATATCGAGTTATTGTAACGCCGCGGACAGGACTTCCGGTGGTATTTGATCAAACACCCGGTCTTTCGCTGCAAGATAAGGTAGTCAACGGCAAGGAGCGATGTATTGCTCGTGTTTCTGCAAATAAAAAAATTGGTGCTCAATTCTAAGTCTTTGTTTCGTCCACTGGAAATTTGAAATTCCCAAAATTGCAAAAAAGTCAGAATCTTTGGTGTTCGTGCATGAATTTCGCTTACTGTGAACGACTAACCGGTTGGCAAATTTTTCCCAGCATTCAAGCACAAACTCCGGCCGACGGCACTAATCGCCCAGGTACGATAGAAAATTGTAATATCGCCAAGTGGGATTGTTGCGTGCTTTTCTACATCTGTTTTTGGTTCATTCATTGCTTGTCTTCCTCGTTAAGATAATGTGAATCAGCATCCCATTGTCTTACCGTTTTACCGCTGCTATCTCGATGCTCTTGACTTTTACTTTGGCATACTAGGTTCATGCTTGGGGGATTTTCTTGAAAGCCAGCCAACCTTACTTTTGCTTTCTTGCCCAGTTTACTTGCTAATAAGAATGTTGCCGTGACTGCCATGTCTTGCGTTGTTACTAGTATTCGTAAAAACGTTGGGATGAATCGTTTCTCACTTAGTGTAGTTGTGTAACTGCCAGCATACTTCCGGTCAACATCTTGCCGACCGCCAGCCTTTTGGCAGTTAGTTGTCTTTACAGTCGCTACATCGTCGTACGGTGGATTATCATTAAGTGACATTAACCATCCCCTAGAACAGCAGCTTAACCGACTGCTGTTGCAAACACTATTTTAAGTTGGCACAGCATACCAGTTTATTGAAAGATTTTATCCAACGATTGTACAAAGAGAGGCTGCCTCTTTAACACGATGAACAGGTTTATTTGTCGATTGCTTTTTATCCCGAAAATTCGGCGTTTCTCGCTTCATTTAGCATGATAGTGAATCCGTATTAAGTAAAACTGTTTAAAACTTGTACATTAAAGTAGAGGATACACAGGAACATAGTGGACTCCGCTAATGTGGTTACACCGATAGCCGATAGCGCTGTGCATGCTATCGGTGTAACCACATTTATATGTCCACTGTATAGTATGTATTAGAGTTTAGCAATTACCGCTGGTACGAGTATGTCCTGGTGAACGACATGCATGCAACTCACAAAGAAAAGCCTGCTCTAGTAAGTATGACCACTTATATTCGTACAAAAGCGTGAGAGCCTTTTTTATACAGGCTCGAGTAATAATGTTATAAACCAGCTAAGCTAAAATCAGTGTGTTCTAGCAGATTTTGGCTTATTAGTAAAGTTTCTGAACCGCCACCATAATATAATATCTGTAGCTGATACAGTATTTCCTCTTCATACGGGAATGTTGACATTATTCCATGATCCGCGGAAGCAAATCCACTTCCCAGGGTGGACCGTTCTCAGCCTCTTGGAGTGAAACCGGTTGTGCCTTATGAAACTCTCGAACGTCTTGAATAAACTTCCCCACCTTCCACGTGATGAAACCGCTCAGCAGCAGCAACAACGCCCACAGTTGAAACGCTTCGGGAACGAGGAGCTGTACAGCCGGATACGGAAGATGGGTCCAGCAAATTATTCGTCGGATCATGATCGTAGTGAATGCGAGTAAGCTGACCAACCGTGGACAAATACAAGCAAAATATTTCATTGGCCCGTCAAGCGGATTCTCAATTGGGGTAACCGTCTCCTGATCAGAAGGTTGTGCGTCTGGATTGGTGATCTCGAAGCTCCCATCTGCTACCAGTTCCTTCGCTTCTTCGCCAGAACCCTCCTTAACGGCAGGATCATCCTCGTTCTCATGGGATAAGCCCAAAAAAGAGATCCTGAATTAGAGACAAGGATTTAAATAACCACCGTTGTCATCCAAAAGCAATGCTGTGATCTTTTTGCAACAAAATTACTGCAACAAATTTTTTTTAGCAGATACGGATAGGTGCTACAAACCTGCCACGGCTCGAATGCACGATGAATGCACGATGAATACACCAGATCAGGAAGAAAATAACCGGCAAAAGGGGCGTAAAAAAAAGGAATTCGGTCCACACTTGAACAAACTTGTGCATTGCCGGTGAAAACGTGGAGGCGAACAGAGACAACAGGGCGGGTTGGGTTGTGTTCCATTGAGGATATCCCACGTCTATCCAGTACGAAAGTATGGCCTCCTGATATCGCATACCCTGTCGCACAACAGATTATGAGCTGTTCATTGCAATACTGAATCCTTTTTCTGTTCGATCGTTACGAATATATTCGACCAAAGGAAACATTCGCAAAGTACGTTTTGTCGCAGTAGCTTAAGTCTGTGCTTGACACGTGCGAAACACGCTCGATCATTTTCAGCTACCGAAAGAAGCGGTTTTAGGATTTGCATGCAACTAGAAAGTTCAACTGATCTATTCGAGTTTTGCGAACTTTTAATATACATATTTGTTGAGAAAAATGTTTTTCAAATATTGTTGCGCGGTGAACTCAAATATACACAGATTTATTTTTTTTAATTGTGCTGTGTAGTGCGAAAGAAATTAGATGTTGGTGTTTAAACGGAAGTATGTATGCCGGTACATACGTAGTAAAAAATCCGTGTACCTGCACGGAAACTGTCCGTTTCGCGCATTTTCAAAAAGGTTTTTGCATAGTTTTTCTGATGTTTCTCACCATCAGCCAAATGATTTTCAGACATACATAAAGCGTGAAAACTGCTGATGCGCGACTACAGTGATTGAAGTGAATTTCAAAATATTTAAGTATACCAAAAGCCTCATTCGGGGCAATATTACTGTACTAAAAGTCTGCAATCCAAACGCACTGGCGCAAACCTGAGAACGATAGTTCTCACACCGTCTCACGGTTCTAATATTTTTCTCAAACTGTAAAAATAATTTTGAACATTAAAAATACTCATTTTAAATTTTGAACGCAGTTCGGTGTAAGAACGATCTTCATACTTGATGTGAGTGTATATTCAAAATTTGAAGAGAATCAATCTACACTAAGACATTCGGTAAACTTGTTTGTGCGTAGACGTTTTAGAAAGTAATTAAACAGTACAAATAACAACGCAACAGGATGTCCCGCGCACAACAGCTGTTCACCCGTATATAGGAAAATTTCCTACAAAATCTCGTAGCAGTGCCAAAAAAAGCATATGAGAGTGCTCGAAAGCGATAGCTCTTGTACAGGAACAAGAAGTTCGTACACTAAGTATCTACAGAAACATTTACTTAAGATTTTCGTTCTTAACCATGAGAAGCGAGATG